AAGAAAAGAAAGTAGAAGCATTGAAATAGAAAAGGCGATGCCCTTGTTTCAATTTTACTTCTTTACATTGTTGCCCTGTATCATTATTTTAGTGATAATTCATAATATAAACGTAAGATATTATTAAGTATCATCAATTTGTATATATTTTTCAAACCTAACCATAAACATTTTATTAATATCGGGTTCCATCAGATTTACATATAAAAAACTAAAAGGTTCTTCTGTTGCTAAGTTATATATTTCTAACAATAGTTGTTTTGCTTGGTGAAGACTCTTCATATCAGACATTGCTTTTTTACTTATCAATACACCAGATAATTCATCTAAAACTGCTTCAACTTCTTTATAATTTCTTAGTTTGAAAAATATTAGTTGTCTTGAATTAGTTCTAATAGTTGTGCTTAACCCGTTGTATTTTTGAGACGAACTAATTATATTAACTCCATAGTGTCTTGCTTTGATATATAAGGCATTGGGTAAATTATTGTGCTTTGCGAACGATGCTTGGTCTATAAAATCATCTACTAGAAATAACACCGAAAACAATTTGGTTTCTCCGTTTTTCTTTTGGGACTCGTTAATCTTATGTTGTAAGTTTAAGACCTGCATTTCATCAATGTTAAACGTATCAAAAAACACATTTTCTTTTTTGGTGTCTATTTTTAAGGTATTTTCAACATAATCTTTTACTGGTGTCCATACTGGGTCTAAATCAATTGAGCTTGACCAAATAAATACACGAGAGAAACAACCCCTATATATGTTTAATATTAAATTTGATAGGAGAAGCGTTTTACCACTACCTGACTGACCAGTTATAACCATTGAAAAGGGAATGCGGGGTGCTACATCGTTTTTACTTTGTGTGAATGTGTATTCTTTTGTTTTGTATGGTTTAACTATAGGTATGTCCATTATCATTAATTAGAAAATATATCATTCAAATATATAATGAATGAAAAATATGATGCTTATATTGAAACAATAAACGGTTTAGAAGTAGTAGAGGCACAGGTAATAAAAGATAGTAAGGTAAAACGATGCTGCTATTTATCATTGGAGTTTGTGATAGCAGTTATTATTTGCTTGAAAATGTTAAAAAATCTAAATGGTATAAATGAGCGATATAACAGAAAGCGAAAAGAAAAAATGGTTTTTCATAAACGCTAATGGTATATCATGTATCCCTTGTAGATGTAAAAGACAATCTTATCATAAGGCAACTAAAACAACAAAGGAAAACAACACAGTTACAACAAATGTCATAGAGGATAGACGAAATTTGAAATTTGGTGGTGGGTGGAATGTTTCACCCGATGAGAACGGATATTCAAAAATGATAATCAAACCGGAAGCGTTGAAATATGTGATACTGGATGGGGACAAAATAGAATAACCCCTGAGGAATGCGAGCAAAGATTAGAAGGAACTGAAACAGACATTGAAGTCATTAAGAAGGACATAGAAAGATTGGAGTTTGAACTGAACGATTTGAAACTAAAAATTAATAAGAAATTTATATATAATATAAATATGGAGTGTCTATTTCCTAAGAAAGAAAAGAGGAAGAGAAGAACAATTTGTTAGAAGAACGAAGGAACATAAGAAAATTCAATGCTAGATTAAATACGATTTTGGATGAACTAGAAGATTATTATCACTATGAAGAGTATCAGAAACGATTTAAACTGTTGTTTGAGTTTTATCAGTTGGAAGAATTACTAAAATAGTTTAAAAAGTAGTTTGTGTTATATATTGACAGTGCCCCCATGCCAGTGCCCCGTGTTGTGCTTCCATAAGCGCATCAACAGAATGTGGTAATGGTCTAATTAGTTTGTTTCGTGCTTTTGGAAGAAGGAGAAGAAAACCCCGATAGTCCCTATACAATGTTCTAATGATTTAATTCAAGAATTCAATCATTAGAGTATTGTTTCGGTATAAGAAAAGAATTTCTGAAGAAAAACCACTTAAAGAAATAACAACTATATATATATATCATATACAATACAAGTGAAGTATATCAAGAAGGTATATGAAATGAAAATAAATGAGATAGATTACTTAAACAAAATCAAGGAGTTATGTAAGTTGCTTAAAGTTTATGAAAGTGTTTTTGATCAAGAAGATGTCTTGAATGTTAGGCGCGATATATCTATTTTAGAAGGTAAAATCTCAGAAGATAAAAAGCTAATAAAACAATATTCGGATTTAATTGAACATATTGAAATACTTTGTCAGAATGGGGGAAGCACAGACGCTATATATTTAGATGTGAAACCAAAGAATGGAGTTAAGTGGTTGAACAAAAGTATTCAGGATATTGAAGAAGAATACGGCGAACTAGTCAAGCCTAAATACAAAAGCAATCATAATATTATTTTGGTGAAATAATATTATTCTTGTTTCTTATTCCTACCTTATCCCTAAACCTTACTCCTACTATTGTAAAATTATTTAAGAAGACCATTTCCATTTTCAAGGGTTAGGGATTTCGTGTTGATACTATCGGGTTTTCTATGGGAGTGTGGGCGCATGGGGTTTAGAGTGGGTTTTTCTATGTGGTTACCTATGGGTCTTCTAATGGTTCCATGTTATGGGCATTGGGGTATAGGTTGTTATGGTTTTGGGTCTTCATGTGAGTTATTCCTAGGGTTCTACCTATGGGTCTTGGGTGGGTTTAGGGTTGAGGTATAGGTTGTTATGGTTGGGGTGCTAGGGGGGGATGCATGGTTAGAAAATGGAAATGGTATATGCTAACTAAAGTATCCCGTAAAGGAACCCAAGAGATGACCTCGCATCAAAGGCTTGAGTCGCAGGAGTTTAGGGATTAGGTTTTAGGGGTCGTGCTTCATCCGGAGCGTTGGCTTCCCTTGGATTCGCGTCGATCTGTATTCCTTGCCCTGACCTCGTATTGAGCAGACGAACAGCGAGTCTCCTTACTACCTTCGTGCCTGCCTGCAGGTGAGTCTGGTGTTTCTAATTGTCGGCTGTAGGTCGGAGAGTCCTGCATTGGCTGTTGACGGGGTTTGCGGTAGAGGGTCTAGCGATGTAGGATCTAAGGTTTAGATTCATATTCCAGTGTTTAGGGTTTAAGATCGGACTTTTGCTTGTTTGTTTAGGCAGCATTACCCCAACCCTCAACCCGCAGCCAGGCAAAGACTTGTCATGCGAAGACTTGGCATCTACAGAAGCCGCGTCGAGTGGCTCCATCACGACGGCAGCGCCCTCAGCCCATTTTCCGTCGGGCGTATAGGGAAGCTCTATCTCGGGCCACAAAAACCTGCTGAAGCACTGTATCCCCATCATGAAAAACCGTTTAGGAAGCTGTATCTCAGGCCACAATTGGTTAGCCGTAGCGTGCCATGGCGTTGTTCAGAAGTCAGACCGTGATGCGCAGAATTTTGCATTGCAGACACAGGTAAAGATGCAAAACCGCCCTATTTCAGTGAAATAGCTGCCCTGCCTTCGTCCCTGCCCCTGCCCTGCCCTGCCCTGCCTGCCTGCACAGAGCCAGAAGAGGTGAGTGTGGTTTCGCCGCCCCACCCAACCCGTAAATGTAGCAAAACTGTCGACCTCTCGCGACCCGACTTGCCACTAAATTGGAGACTGAACTTATTCTAAATTGGCAAGATTAGGCTTGGGCACATCCCTTGTCAAGGCAAGGAACCTCACTCCTTGAAGATCCTCCCCCCCCCTATTGCAGGATTCGGGCCGCTATGCACCTGATTGATTAAAGGATGCCTTGTTTTTGGAACCTGTACCTAAGCACTGAGAGGTCTTGTGAGCCTCATTATGATAAATTCGATGATTCAGGTGTGTTCCGGATTCAGGCAAGAAGCCGCCCTTTTGTAGACCCCACGATAATTACCAGGATTCTGCAGAGTCCCATTTTGACGAGCAGTCCCCACCCTAAACCCTAAACCCTAAACCCTAAACAAACAATTTTATAATTGTAGTATCATGGGCGCTGATGCCCTATTCCAATTTTTCAGACCCTTATATATATATATATATATGTATATATATATATATATATATATTACCTGTATGATTGCCTTGCGGCAGTCCCCTTCTATGTACTTTACTTGTTGGCCGGCCAACAAAAACCAAATGAGCACATGGGCCCGTCCCTAAACCCTAAGCCGTTTGGGTGGCGTTTGGGTTGGGGTATGGTAAAGAGCAAATTGGGTTGGGGTATGGTAAAGAGCAAATGTGCGGCTGTACGACGGGGCCGCAGGGTTACGGTGTTAGGGGTTAGGGCTAGGGTTTAAACACGTTAAACCTGTAATCCTTAAACCCCTAATCCTAAACCAGGTGAACCCCTGAACCCTAAACCCCGGAACCCTAAACCCTAAACCCCTAACCCTTAAACCGCAAACACTTAAACCTTTAGGCTGAGGGTTTCTCAGACTTGGCGGCAGGGCTTTAGGTTTCAAGTTCCGGCAACCCTCGGACTTGGGGATCTTACGGAAGCTTCGCAATAAATGTCCATTGTAGGGCCTGCAATACTGACCTATCCTTAAGGGTCCATGTGCCCAAATAATATATACTTTGACCTTAAAGTAGTCCTTAGACTGTTTGGATACATGTACCCTTTAAGAATGCTATTCTGGGGCTCCTCATCATGAACATATTACTATTACAATATGCCCCGCAACCCACTCTGAACAAAAAAGGACTTATATTAGCTCTGACTGCTCTCCTTTAATACCAACCCACCAGTCCCAACCTCTATGCCTTAACCCCCTGATCCTCCTTAAGCCCTAAGGGTCCATATATACTACCATTATGGAATTGGGTCCCCAAAACCCTAATATGAATGGTCTTTGGGACCCAATTCCATAATTGTAGTATGTATGGACCCTCTGGGTAAGCTTTAACTTTAAAAGCCTAGATTATAAAACCCCGTACTTACAAAGAACTGTTTTAACCACTCGAGGAAGCCCGAACGACCTCTTCCCGACATCTTCACTGAACCCGAAACCGTAAAGGGTTTTGGGTTTGGAGGTTTTTAGGGGCTTCGCGAATTAGGGTTTAGGGGTTTATTTACAGGTTTGTTTGTTTTGCAAATTCTCTGTCGCCTAGGGCCACTCGTCGCCCGTCGAGTTGCTCTCCCAATATGACGGATGAGGGGGAAGGTTTTAAGGTTTGGGGTTGGGTTTGCAGGGGATTTGGGACTTCTTGAGCTTTAGGGGTTGAGGGTTCCGGGGCTCGGGGATGATGGGGGAAAGATGCTAGAGGGTTTATAAGCTCTAGCATGCGCGATTTATATAGAGGGTTCGTAGAGAAGCATGAACAGCCGTTACTGTAGCGCTCATTGGTCAAACCCGCCTAGTGGATCTCTATTCCAGATATCAAGGCCCGTTTGTTCGGGAGTTTCCTCTACGTCAAACTCGGTTTCGTGCTTTGTCGAGCTTGCCCATTGCTCTGTTTCCTATCTTCAGCTGCAACCCCCAGGGCCCAGCTCCGAAGCTTCAGGCATAGACCGTAATATTGGGCTTATGTTTAGGGCTTAGGAGTTTGGGGTTATTTATAATATGCCTTTTGGGTATGGGTTTCGCTGTGGTGCTATGTCTCATGCAGCTTTGGCTTTCCGGTTTTGTTGGGGTAACGTTCTCCTCTTTGGGACATCCAAAAATCGGTTTTGCTTACTGCACAAGCGGGTTCGAGTTTAGGGTTGCGTACTACAGGTCTGTGAATAATTTGTGAAAGTCGTCTTTTATGATCGTTATATGGTGTCGTACTCGTAGACGCGTGGGCTTGAGGTTTAAGGGATGCAGTTTCAGCTGTGCTTTGTTTTTGGGTTCGATTGGTCTGGGTTTGGGGTTCTGTAGTTTCTGACCGTGAGACCTAGCAGAGCTCTGAGAACCTTGATGCTCGATGCTGTCATTTCGTAGGCCACCACCAGGACCCTAGACCTTCAACCCTAAACCTAGACCGAAACGGGGATCCCCAACCCTAAACCCTAATTCTCCCTTCTCAAAATAACAAAATACAAGCAACGCCTAACGCAGCCATAAACGGCGTCGCTCCTGGCGATTGAGGCCCGTGCCAAATCGCGCAGTCACGGTAGATGATCTTGGCCTTGTCCTCAGCACACGGCCAATGCGTGCCCGAGCATCGTAATATAGGGGCCATACACGGGCCTTTACAATTACACTAGGGTTTGGGGCATATCATGTTCTGATAAAACAACTTCAGAATGCTATTATCGGGGCTAGAGGGAATAGTATGACTAAATACCCAAGCTTAACGGTATACCTGCTGGAACAGTTACAGGTAACTCAGACGCCGCAGGCCACACACATGCTTTTCAGTTTAGACTTGGGCTTCATAAGTTAGATAACCCGGTTGAAAGACGCAGCTCCCCTAAATCCGAAACCTTCTCCACAAGGCCACTCCTTGCAGATTTTTCAAGTTCTTGTAGAGTTTATGTGTGGAGGGGTGTCGGGTTCACGCCCTCTAACTCAAAAGTCGAAACCATTCCTTCGCCGCGTTTTCAAAAGGAACTCCTGTAAGGAAATCAGAAGAAGAAAGACCTCAACAACCAACAACTGTAGGTAGTCTATAGAGTCCGGCAAGTTCGACACATTTTAGTTGATGTTTCAAGCTGTGCTGGTGCCATCGAGCCTTTCCGGCGATGCGGGCTACCCAGAGCCAAACTAGGCACCCTAACCTTTTCAATAGACCAACAAGAGCCAAACCCTAAGCCCTAAGCCCTAAACTCTAAACCGAATAGTTCCCTTAATGGGACCTTGACGGACCCCTTTAAGGGAGCCGTTCTAGAACCCCACACTTAGGCCAAAGCCCTACGCACCCTTCAAAGAAACCCTTAAACGAACCCGTCTACAACCCTTAAAGGAAACCTAAACCCCCGTCATATGGTGGCTTGGCTACCGTAGTAATAATATACCCTCATAGTGCCGCTGCAATCATACACAGCATGAGTTAGCCCGACCTCCTATTCTACTTCTTGAGGCCCCTAAATCAGACCCTCTAAGGATCCCTAAACCCGTAAAGGATCCCTTATAGGATAAAGGAACCCTCACAGGGTCTCTTAGAGGAGCCTTCAAAGGAGCCCTGTACCCAAAAGGCCCCGCTTCTCCAACAAACAGAGGCCTTGGTTTTGGACTGGCCCCGCTGTGGGGCACTCGGGTGCTGGGCAGGGGAAGCACGGATTTAAGGGGATGTGGTTTAGCGGTTTGGGGTTTAGGGATTAAGGGGTTTAGGGGTTCAGGGTTTAGGTGGTTTAGGGGCTCAGGGTTTAAGGCTTGGGGCTTAAAGCCTTGCGGCTTCATCGAACGACTTATCAGTTTACAGATCAGTTTACAGACACTGTGCCTCCTTTGGTAACGAAAGTCTCTGGCTAGTATCTGTATGGGTGTGTTTGGTGGGGTAGGGGGGTTGGATTTAGGACATCGTAGCATAGCATTGATAGCAAGAATGCAAGGGCTTGTATGGAGGAGGGTAACCTTCGCGACCTAAGCCAAAATTACCTATGTTTTGAGGTTCATGATTTAACAATGATTTTCCTGATATCAGCCCTTACCGGAGGTCGGTTCTTTAGGGTCCAGGAAGGTGTTAGCCCTTTGAAGGCTTGGGACTGCGAGGTTTAAGGCTCGGAGGGCAGGTTTTGGCTCGGGTCCAGGGTTGAAGCCCAGCATAATCATAAGCAAGGGTTTAGGGTTTAGGGTTTAGGGTTTAGGGTGCCCAAGTTGCTTCACAGCGTAGCGTGTAGAGTCATGGACCCGAAACCCAACCTTTCAAACCCGAAACCCTAAACCCTAAACCCATGTTAGTGGATGAGGGAGCTGGGATCCTCCACGGCTCAGCCGCTTTGCTCAGGCTGCTGTTGAGAGGGTAGGGTTGAAGGTTTAGGGCTTAGGGGTTTAGGGGCTAGGGGTTTACGGCTCAGGGACATAAGTCTTGACCCGAAAGCCCGAAACCCTTGATCCTAAACCCCCAAGCCTCGGCCCTAAAACCCGAAAGCACGCGGCAGCGTCGCAAGACAGAGGACAGTTTGAGGCATCGGGAAGTTCCTCTGTCAGATTCTGTACCTGACACAGACCAGGTGGGATGGGTCCTGGACAGGCACAAGAGGCATGAAGGCGTCAACCCCGATTGCAATGTACATGTGCAAGATGAGGCACCGAGAAAGACTGAAACAGGTGCGAGCCAACTAACCAGAAGGCAGCAAGGGTGCCTCAAATGATAAGTTGATTGCCAAGTGGAACAAAGAGCGCTTGGAGGCCATCAAGCAAGCGACTGGCTCCCAGCGTGAGAAGGTCGCAGCCTCGAGTGGCGCCGGCAGTTCTGGCCAGCGCTGGTCTGCATGATGCCGCACCTAGGTCGCTCACCCGGGTTGTGCAGCCAGTAGCCGCGTCCTGAGCCGGCCATCAGCGTAGGCATGCACTGGGGGTGGCATGTCGCAATACGCATGGCCTTGTTCAATAGTGATTTAGAGGGGTCCACAGGAACAAGTTATGCGGGGCTGCAAGCTAGGGCTGGACCCCAAGCAGGCAGCCCGGCGGCTTGGACATCCGTATTGGGGCCCTATTGGGGTGGAATATAGGGTCGGAGTATTTAGCAATACTGTCTCCTTATTGTCCCTACGTGTTGCCCTTATTATCTCACCCTCCTATCATATATGCCTAGAAGGATTAAGCTAAGGCACTATATCCCGGTTTCGGGCTGTAGCCTTCCAGGGTTCAGGGTTTAGGGACAAGCTTAGGGTGTTCAGGGCGTACAAGACCTTCGGGTGCTACCCGCCGTAAGAGCAGGAACAGGTGCAAGCACCTTACATGGTAGTAACCCTACACCTTAAACTAAACCCTATAAAACCCCAAACCCTAAACTCTAAACCTAGAGCCCGATAAATTCCAAACCCTAAAGCCTAAACCCTAAACTCTCTATGGGCCCAAAGAATGTGGAGGCCTGGTGGGGCAAGTGGCGTGGCTTGGCTTCCGTCCTGCCCTCAAAGCTTTTTAGGGATTTAGGGTTTAGGGTTTAGGGGGTTTAGGGTTAATTCTTAAGGGTTTAGGGTTTCATCTTCACTGCTTCGGGTAGGGGATCTAGGCATGCCCAATGTGCGACGACTCCTGCTGCCAAAGATCGCAGTTGATTGGTCACCAATCATTTTCGCAAGAGCGAGTTCGTGCGGTAGCTAGCTAGTTGGGGGTTTCCGAAAATTTGGGTACCTTATTTTGGGGTCCTTATAATAGGGATCCTATTATTTAGGGTACTATATTAGGGTCCCCTATTTTCGGAAACCCCCAGTTAAATGTCTAGCCATAGTAGTCGTCACATCGTCGTCGTGGTCGGATCGTGGTCGTCGTACTCGTGCTAGTTGAGTCGTAGTCGTGGTCGTCATCGTCGTCCTCCTCCTGCTCTTTTCGTCGTCACCGTGGTAGTCGTACTCGTAGTCGTCGTAGTCGTAGTAGTGAGTGTGGTCGGAGTAGTGGTAGTAGTGGTGCCGGTAGTAGTCGTCGTCATCGTCGTCGTGTAACCCCATGGGGCCAGACAAAGAGCTTTGCACCTTAGCTGCCTTAGCTGTTTCCAGAACCCCAAGAACCTTGAACCACTATATAGTGAAACACTGGTTTTGTAATGCAGCTTTGGGAACTTTGTTTTCTTTGAGGCTCGTTCGGTGCTTGAACTAACGATGCTAACAACGACCTTGTGGGATCGCATCTTGAGCTCTGAAGTTGGGAAAGCTGCGTGGAATTTCATCGGTTCGCACATAAAAGGGGCTTACCTATAGTCTCCATTGTAGTTCCTTTTGTTGGATTAACCAATTATATATTAAGTATTTTATAAAGGTATCCCCCAAAAGGAACTACAATGGAGACTCCAGGTATAGTGCTTCATAAAGCGAACGAATTTGGAGTCACCAGGATTTTGATGTTCCTAAAAGCGGGGTTCCCCCGGAGTCATCCAGAGCTTAAGGGTTTGCCGTTTCGGACTTTGGGATTTGAGCCATTTTGGGCTTTGGGTTGAGCCTGTTGTGTCCTGGCATTCGGAAACAGGCGGCGGAAGATGTTTGAAAGTTGGATGGCATTGCTCCCTAGTCCATGCAAACCCCAAAGAAAACCGCATACCTTTAGGCACGACCGTAAGCTCTCAACCCTAAGCTCTAAACTCTACGCCCTTGCTGGTGCTCCCAGGACGACCCTAAACTCTAAGCCCTTACTGGTGCTCCCAGGACGAATCTGCGGCATCAGACCTTGCCGTCTTCTCAGTTTATTTTCTCGCAGGTCGGGGTCCGGTTTCAGGGTTTTGGGTTTAATGGGCTTTAGGGTTTAGGGTTT